TTTAAACCAGGGCTTTTTTGGTTTTTGTTGATTTTTTTTTTTTTCTTTTTTTTTTTTTTTTTAATTTTGTCAGGTCATGTGTGCTCCCTGGATAGAGCCAGAAGGGATAAGAAGCACCCTCAGTGGGAGATGGTCACTATCCCTTCTCCATTTTTTCCCACCTTTTGGGATTTTGGGTGTACATGCATCCAGCATGCAGCCCCCAAGTCTGGGACTCAAACTTTGCTCTAAGGCTATGAGCCAGCAGCCTTAACTTCTGTGCTATTGGCTGGCTCCAGATTTTTATTTTAACACTTATCCATAATTCTAGCTTTTTTCTTTTGGAGAGGTGTTTTTGCTATAGGGTACATAATGCTCACCAGGAAGACAGAAACAAAGCAAAAAATTACCCACTGGGGGGATGGCCACACTGTAATCCCTTCTCCATTCTCCTTGAGATCTTGGGTGTGCATGCACACATGCCTGGCGTGGGTTTAAGCCACCAGGATCCAACACTTGAACCAGGGTTGACTACATGGGAGTCCAGCACCATAGCCATTACGCCAGTTGCTGGTTCCCATAATTCTAGCTTTTGACATGTTTTTTACTTCATATTAGATGGAACTTTGTATTGATAAGCCCATGTAGTTGATTTAAAAAATAATCTGGAAGTCATACATAATTCACTTTGAAAATTAAGTCATAGATAACTTCTTAGACTTGCTTCAGAAGTAGGCTGTTGAGGCTCAGGAGGTGGTGGTGAGGTGCAGGGTTCCCTCACATCTGGACCTGGCAGCTTGCATTCTTTTCCTTCTATCTGGTAAGCACAAATGCCCTGTAGCAAATGTAAACAATTATTTTTAGAATTTTTTAAAAATAGGGGCCAGCAGGTGGTGTGATTAAAGGCACTGGATTCCCACATGGCCAACCGAGGTTCGAGTCCTGGACCTGGTGGCTTGCCTTCTCACTTTCCCTCTGATCAAACGAAAATAATTAGTAAAATTTTAAAATATTTTTTTAAAAAATAGGCTGTTAAAATTTAGACCTCCAAGTAACTGCAGAAAGCAATTTTCGAGTAATTAGAGTGAATTGGTTATTTCTGAGAAGTATTCTTTATTGGCTTAGAATACAATTGGAAGAAATGCCTGCCATCTTTAGTATTTTCACCTACAGCAAGAAAAGTGCCAGATTTTAAGCACTGTATAGAATTTATAGGGCACTGTGTTAAGCATGGTACTAATAAATGGTTGAAATGACACCCCCCCCCCGAAATGCTTCACGCTAATTTCGTTTTCTCTAAAACTTGCAAACTGTTCAATTCTTTACACCTTATTAGTGTAAAGATACGACTTCCATCTGAATTGTATATAGTTTTCATTGGCAGTCTCACAAGTCCCCATTTTCAGAGCCGGATCTGTTCTTTGGTGTATGAAGTTGCCATTTCCCTTGCAATTTGTTACCACTGCTTTCATCTCAGTACTCTGGTTCCTTTGCGCAACTCTACCCCGTTCAATGCCCGAAAACCGGAAAAGGTCTATGCCTTCCGATGCTTCTGCAGGTTTCCGAGGCCAGGACTTGACTTCTGGCGAAGTGGTGCAGTGACTGCGAGCCCCGCTCATGGGGAATCATGTTCGGCCAGGTTACTGCGTGCTTGAGGTGGGCTGAGGACTGTGGCCTAATACCTTTATGGCTCCCAAGGCCAATGCTTTAGGAATCCTGTTACTCGGGTAAGATGTCACTGGCAGCGTCTGTTGGCGAAGCCCGAAGCCCATGGAGCTGCGTGGCACGGCCCACAGGCGCCGGAAGGAAGCGAACCTTCCGCCTTTTCCCAACATGGCTGTCCGCCCCGCCCCGCCCTCCCCAGCCTGGTTTCCGGGAATCGGGGTGGCGTCATCAGCCAGCGCCGGGCCGCGCGGCGGGCGGCAGCGTGACGAGGGACGATGCTGAGCCGGCTTCAGGAGCTGCGCAAGGAGGAGGAGACGCTGCTGCGGCTGAAAAGCGGTCTCCACGGCACG